ACCAATGCCCTTAAAAGTCATTTTTATATAAAACAACCAACAACCAACTTCACCAAGCATATTTATTAACAGCCAACAGTCAAACAACCAACATTAAAAATCAATACTAATAGCTGGTCAGACCAGCTAAGAGAAATAGCCAATAGCCAATAGCCAAACAAGGCCTTAATGTTCAAATATTGCTAAATATTAACACGCATTAGTATTAAATTGTACTTTATACGGTATTATCATGTTACCAAAAGAATGCTTTATTAATACCAACAAATTCAAAAAGTTTTGTTGGTATTAATAGCATCCTTTGTTGATATTTAGATAATAGCATGAACCATGTAAACATAATTTTATATTAACGCGTATTATAAGAGTCATTTATAAGTCAAATTATAGAGGTAGAGAAATCCTCGAGATTCCCTTGCCTTCCTACACTACCAAGTACTTATGTATGGAGTATAAAGGATTAATAGAATGTTAAGGTCGGATCAAGATTATTACTAAGGATTAGTGGGCGGGTCTCAGTAGGAGACGCACCCCATCCTGTCCCATTGATCCCAATTTCACAGATGACAGGGCGAGGATGAGACTAAAAACCATATCTACCATGGTGAGGGGTAGAGTTTAAGTTATACTCGCTCCAATCCTGCCCGTGACATTCCTAGTTATTACACTTCATTTAAAAAAAAATAAAAAAAAAAAAAATCTAGGAGAAATGCACTTGTGTAGATAGTGAGGACATGGAGGCACTATGCATATTATGTAGACAAATCTTCTTCCAAATCTTTTTGGGGATTCAACCTTTTTCAATTTTCTTTTTCCTTTTCACACGGTCTTTCGGCTTTTTTTAACATGCTTTTGCCCAATTAAAATCATCAAATAAAAAGAGCACAATTTTATTTTTTTAAAGCTTAGCTGGTGACTTACGGTAGCCATGTGATGGTCAAATAATGGTCAATTAAAAAAATGTAGGAATCAGGAAATGTCACGTGGGCCCATCCAATTGAGAGCATGAATCCAAAATACAGATTTAATACTGTAAAAAGTATTTTTATACATAGGGGTATTTTGGGAACTTAAAAATTGAAATGGCTAAACTAACAAAAAACCAAAATTACATCAGATTGGGGAGTACAGTGTAGAGGAGTTTTTCTTTGTTTAGTAAAAATGCACAATTATCAATTTTCATGAGGTCCAAGTACCAACCTTTAATTAATGTGCTTACAAAGCAAGTTATTACTACTTCATTTATTTCAACTATTACATTCTTACATTTAATTGGTTTTGAGCAAAAGGTACACATTTACTCGGTGGAGTAATATATTTTACCCATTTCAAAAAAAAAAAAAACTCCACCATTAATTTATGAAATTCTTTCTAGCTCTAATTTGATTAGATTTGGTGATATATAATTATTATAAATTTTTTTTTAGAATTGTCTCAATGCATATTTTTCATAATTTTATAATTTTTATTTATAGATAATTAAAGATAAAAATCCTTGAAATTATATACTATCAAACGTGAAAAATAGAGATTTACGTCAACTAAAAAATCAATGGTATTTATCGGTTAAGTACAATTATACAAGTATACAATAAAATGGGATAATTCTAAAAATGTACTTCATAACAAATCACTAGTGCATCTGGGTGTATAGGTCTTATGTGTTTTGGAAATACATAGGAGGGAAAAATAGTAATTTGAGGTCTATAAAGGCATTTTTTAGGTTTGCAGTGGCATATTTTGTGTAAAACTATGAATATATATAAGGGCGTATTTTATTCACCTATTTGAACTTATGTTATTTGAATTTATCTGAACTTATCTTAAGTTAGTATACCTTATTAAAACTTGTACTTGGATAACTCTTATCAGGACTTATTTTTCCTACACATATCTATTTGAACTTGACTGAACTTATTACACCTGAAATAAAGTAAACAAAATAAGCCTTAATACCATTAGAGTATAGGTTGTCTTATTATGACTATGATATCTCATAATGATGTAATATTTTTTGACGTACCATTTACATAATTATTTGTATCATTAGAAAATAATTTGTACCATTACACCATTTAATGGAACTATAAAAAATTATAAAAAGTTATATTATGAAAATATACAATGATATTATTTTAATAAAAGTTACATGATGACTGTTTTATCATATTTACAAATCACAACTCACAAAACTATCAAAATAATCGAGATTATAAAGTGTCAAAACCAATTCGTGTCAACTACTTCAAAATAATGAAGTAATTCGATCTTAGTCTTTTCTTTCAATCTATGCAGTTATCATATTCCATGTTAGGTAATTTATTTTATTTTAAATCAATAAGTAAAATGGTAACAATTTATACAATTACCGGTGAGTAACATACTTTAAATCATGATGAGGAGTCAATGAGTCATACATTTACTTATAATCTAATACTTGTATCAATTTTTTTACCTACTAAATCTACTTTTGAGTTTAGACGAGATCTTAAAGAACTTGCCTGTATTTTTGAAAGTGAAAGGAAAGATATGCCAAATTCCATAACAGTACTTCTTTACCAAACTGCTTAAATCTTCATTAGTTAGATAATTGTCGCAATTACTTGTTGAGATAGAACTATAACAAACAAGCAATTACTTGTTGAGATAGAACTATAACAAACAATCTTTTCTTACAATACAATTTAAATTTTTTATTTTATTTTTTTTAATGATTATTACGTACTTGTGGTATGTAACGATTTTGCTTTCACGTATCATACTTTAGTCGCAATTGGTTGTTAACATTAAATTGTTTTTTTCAAGGCCAAATCAATAACAACCTTGTCCTATTTTCCATACTTATTATAATTAATGATCAAACACGTGTATAAGAGACCGTGAAAATACAATATCACGACTATAATAGAAAGACGGACTAATGTAAAAAGCACCTTTTAAATTAGTTAACAATTAATTATACGGAGTGTGTAACAATAGGTCATTAAGACATTGAGGAAGCCTCGTCATCAACATTTGTTCACCTAGTACCATATTCGGCAACTTATTGATTGGAAGTATAAAAGGAATTCCATTCCAGAATATATGCAAGTATATATAGTATTCATATCTTATATTACTAGACAATGTTCATTTGTTCAAATGTCCACTAAAAATATCATTACAATAATTATTAGATATTATTGCCAATATGTTTTTGATCTCATAAAAAAATTACAAAACATAAATAATATCGATGAATGCTATATTTAGCTCCTTATAAGACAAACCGAAATAGTTTATAATTGTGTTTCACTATTTCAATAATTAGAAGGGAAAAAATTTATTGGACATTGATCTATGTTATCTTTATTGCAAGCAGGTTTGAAACCCCGTTTAGGCATGTAATCAATTCTAACCGATTCAATTTGTCACGAGTATATATAATATCATCTTTTCCTTGCATTATTAGGTGTTGTTTGGTTGCCTTTAGTTTTCCTGGGCACTCAAAATTCCCATAAATTTCCTTTTTGGGTATGTTGTTTAGTTGACATTAAAAAGCAAAAATGGGGAAAGTCACAATTCATGGGAATTTTCACTTCCCACAAAACATGGGAAGTTACTTACCCACTCCTCCCTTAGTCATTCACAATTCCTAGTATTTACAAATTCCCACATGACAACCAAACATATTTATGCGATTCCTAGAAATTTAATAAAGAAAATAATTTTCCATGAATTAGAATTTTCCATGGGAATTTACTTCCTACATCAACCAAACAAGGTCTTAGTATCATTCGTACTTAGGAAGTATGAGTTATAGCACTAGGATTAAAGAGTGAACTCATGTAGTCACTCACTCGATCACCATTAAATAAATAATAAACACTTTAATAAGGTATACAATTCGATCATTTCCATAATACGCCAAGTTAAACTATATGCATCACCTGCCTTAGAAAATAATTTTAAATCCTAAATGCGTATACATGTAGTAGGTAGTATACTACATTTCCTTGCTACCCCCAAAGCTAGGAAGGAAAGAGTTGAGATCAATCCAAATAAAAAAACCACTCTAATAACATAAGTACCAAATTAGCATATTACTACTTGAAAGTCTAGAAAATCCATGCTTAACAAGTAAGCAAATCACACACAGATATTTTACTCTGCACTATATCTTATATAGTCCTAATAAAACTATCACACTTATTTTGCCTATTTTCTTAAACGACCAAATCAAAACAATTTACTACTAGAGCAACATATAAGATGAGTTATGTAACAACGAGCTTAGTGCCCCAAAATTACAATGGATGCACACAACAAGTTCTTGTGTTTTAAAAGGAGTAGAATAAATTAGGACATTACAACTGTAGAATGATCTAATTAATAGGCTTGAAGACTATTTCATGTGGGTGGAAACATCTTCAACAGTAGATTTGATAAGTTATGTAACAACAAGCTTAATGCACTAAAATAAAATCACATTAGCTACACTCAATAAGATATCGTGTTTTTAAAATGAGTATTTTAGTCAAGACTGTGCAACGGTCTAATTTTCGGTTACTTACACTACATTAATAGTTTGAAGATTATTTCATGCGGGTGAGAACATCTTCAACAACAAATATGATAAGTTACCAACAAGCTTAGTGCCCAATGATCACATTCTCTACACTCACTAAGTTCTCGTGTTTTCAAAAGGAGCAAATTAATTAGGACAGTCTAATTACTAGTTATGTACACATAAATAGGCCTAAAGACAATTTCACGTGAACGATAACTTCAACAACACATACGATCATTTATGTAACAACAAGCTTAAAGCCCCAAAATCACATTGGATGCACTCATCAAGTTCTCGTGTTTTCAAAACGAGAAGAATTAATTAGATTGCCACAACGATTTAATTATCGTTAAATACAAAGTATACATTAATAGACTTGAAGACTAATTCACGTGGGTGAGAACTTTACCATGGACGTTATTTTTATTATTATTTTTTCGATGAAAACCATGAGGGTTGTCAATTTTTGTCAACACTGATACTCTATTTGTCTATAAAAGTTATTCCTGTTACAATATTTTGCACAAAAAAAAAAAAAAAAATTTTAGTTTATTTTAATGTAAGATTATACCCAATTTTTAATGAATTAATGAAAGCTACACCAATACTAGTAGAGTTAAGAGTTGTAGTAGTAGTAGCAATAATTCTTACTCAGTTTGCCCCCACCAACTTTCTTTGGTCCCCCAATTGCCCAATCCCACCAAGCAAACTTTCTCCCTCCTTTACCCTTTTAGAGAGAGAAACTAAACAAACTCAACTCCCCTTCATTTCTTCTTCCTTTCTTCTTCTTTCACAAACTATTTCTGCAATAAAATGCCACCAAATAAATAAAAATTAAATCTTTTTAGAGAGAGAAACATAGAAAGAGAAAGAAGAAGACTTTTAGAGAGAGAAAAAATGTCTGGAGTTTGTAGGGGATTTTAGGGGGCATACTTACAGCATATGGTCTCTCATTTGCTTAGCAACTCCCAACTTTTTTTGCTCTCTTTCTCTCTCCTCGTTTTCCGCCATTTTTTTTGGTTTAACCCCACTTCACTTTTTTGGGTGTTGCTTAACTTTTCCGGCGACTTCGCCGGAAACCCATTTCTTCGGTTGCCGGAGCTCCGATCTTCTTAGCTTTTTTTTATCTCTATTCTGAGGTTAGATTGTTTTGATATCTATGAAATCTACAACGACTACGGCGGTGAATATTGCTTCGCAGACTACTAATAATAGTCCGTCTTCTGAAGGTTTGATCTCTCTTGCTGAAACTGGGATGAGTTTTTTTTTTTTTTGTGGGTTACTAAGATTTTGGGAGATTTCCGCATTTTTGTCTTTTGACTGTAATTTGTGTATATTTTTTTTTGTTTGAGTTATTTTGGAGAGATTTTCTGAACTTTATTCTGTAATGAATTAATCACCACTTCATCATTTATTATTAGTTACAACGTTTGGATTTTCACGCTTGTTAATTACTTTATAAATACATCGGAATAAATCTAAAATGATCACATGACTGTTTGTAACTTTGTATTAGTCAATTAGTGTCAATTATACCTTGTTTATTACTGTCGTTTATTTATTATTGCCTACCAAATGAATTGTATTGTATAATAAAAAATAAATCGAACGGGGCGGAGGTGATAATACGTGTGAGGATGTGACTGCAGGAGAGAAGAAGACGATTAATCAGGAGTTATGGCAGGCGTGTGCAGGGCCTTTGGTGAATTTACCGGCCGCTGGGACCCACGTTGTGTATTTTCCACAAGGTCATAGTGAACAGGTTTGCTGCCTTTCTTATACCACCCTTTTTAATGTTCATACAAATTTTTAGCTAATTATGGTAATTAAGTTATAGTTTGTTGTTATTTTTTGGACTACTACTAGTATTATTTGGTAAGTAAAATAAAGTTAATATGGTTGTTTTTCTATTTGGGTAATGTTAATGATGTTGAAATGGGGAATGTATTAATATGGTAGTATTTGTTTTTTGTTTCCCTAATTTTGAGGGAAACCTTTGAGTTTGTGTGACTTGCTAGTCTTTTTCTTGTTTGCTTTTGGTTGTGGTCCATTTTTTCTAACTAAACTCATTTTGGTAATTATTAGACTTGTTGAATTGTAGAATTTCTTGCTAATTATGGTCCATAGTGCTATTTTCTTTTTAATCCAACAACCGGTACTCTTATGGAAATGTCAGTCCAATGGTTGGAAATAGGTTACTAAATCCGATTAGGATTTACTCCCTTTGTTTCATGATGATTCCGATGGATAACCATGAGGGGGTATTCTTATTTTGAGCAACTGAAGTATGTTTAATGGATATGGATAGGTTTATGGATAGAACATTTTTTATTTTATTTTAATTTTACCCTTTTTATTTTTTATTTTTTTATATATATTTTGTTATGATAAGTGTATGGAGGTAGTCCTATAGATACACCTATCCTTATTGAGGAAGATGTTGATTAAACCCCAACCTCAAAGTTCCCACATAATTCATGCTTAATTATAATATAAAGATTGTATTATATACCCCTAAATTCCAAAGAGGGCAAAAAAGTTTAATCACGAGCTTCATATATAATTTCTCATAAACTATATAGTTGGAAATTTATGATAAAATCACACGCCATTTGATGTTATTATACACCATAATGTTCTGTATTCTTAATGTTAGCTACTTATACATACTCCTTAGGGTTAAGTTTAGCATTATCCTAGAAAACAGAATTTCACCAGAAGGTAGGACTGTAACACAAGTAATGGGTTGGTAATATTCTCATCCAAAGTGATGTTGCCATCTTTTTGACTTCACAAGGTGTGGTCCATGGGGAATGACTTTGAAGATCATCTTTTGTGGCATGTTTCTCTTTCTCATTTCTTTGTCTTGTTATTCCTCAAACTAGTCATTCCTCATCTCTTTCTCTATCTATTTTTGTTTCCTCAGTTAAATTTATTTGAAATTAGCTTGTAATTTAATCATCATAAATCATCACAAACCAACTTATTGCACTTTTTTGAATTTTGATTAGTTGTAGGGTCAAGTTTCTAAGCCAAGATACTTTAATGATAATTTGCTGGGAGACCCCCTGTATTAACTTTTTTTTTTTTCTTTTTCTAAAAAATATGCTAGAGATACATGATATAATCAATATCGGAAAATATATTAGTGGAAAAAACAGTCAAAACACTATCAGCAGGGGAAGACTGCTATGTGTGTTTTGGGCCATGTTGCTTCAATATGTCTTATTTGTTTATAGATTTATGTCCACATTCAATAGAATAGGACAAGATCAATATACAGGAAATAGAAGCAGACTAACACAAGTTGAACATAATCCTCATCATCATCGAGAACACCTGAGCTAGACATGGTATACTGCACGTAGTTTTTCCTATTGATGGCAAAATTTTACTCACCTACTGGTTACAGGGTATACTTTGATTAGTTTTTCCTCAGCACGACATCACATGCTATAATTTTGAAATTGAAATAGAGTAATTTTGGGTGCAATGTATCAGAGAATAGCGCAGTGAAATAGCATATTTAGCATACATGAGAATATTAGATTACGGGAGTCTGGCCTATTGGTAGCTCACAATGTGTGCTGCCAGGTCTTGAATGGAGACTTCTATGAGACTCAGATATCATTTTCTTCTATTCTAGTCTTGACCATCACTTTAACTTCTCTGAGTCTCCGATGTTAATTTCTTTTTTTACTACTAATACCAGGCATCATATAAAGTTTTCTTCTCAATCTTTCTCACTTCCTGATACACCTTAAATATTTTTGTAATCTTTCCCTTCCTAGAGTTTGGTTAAAATTGGGAATTGCTAGTGGAGTAAGATCTATTACCTTATACTGTTTAGTCGAAAACCTAGTATTATTATAGCTTCTGCCTGTATAGTTTTTGAAAAACAATGCTTGCTGTCTGCATAATATTCTTGATCTCCTTGATAATTCTGACATGAATCTCAAAATGAATAGGTGGCGGCATCTTTGAAGAAGGATGTGGATGGTCAGATACCAAATTATACGAATTTGCCTGCTAAGTTACTATGCCTACTTCATAATGTGACATTGCATGTAAGATTATTTGTATAGTTGCACGCCGCCTCTGTTTTTCTTGGTCTCTTGCTTTAGAGAAGGATGGACTTTACTTTGATTGACAGATTGAGTACGACAGCTTACTGATTTCTTTCTGTAGGCAGATCCAGAAACTGATGAAGTATACGCTCAGATGACTCTCCAACCAGTTCCTTCTGTAAGAACTTTGATGGATATTATTACCATATCTTTGTTTTTAAAGGATCACTTTAATATTGGCTGTTCTAATTGCTTTATACCTCTTGCTCTTCCTACTGGACCCCTCCCTAACGCTTGTTCGATTAGAGGGAATGGAGAGAAAGGGAAGGTAGGACAAGGTAGGGGAATAAGCTCCCTTATTCTGATAAGAGGTTGTGGGAAGGAAGAGAAGGGATCCAGTTTCCCCCCATTTTTTAATTAACACCATCCTTCCAATATCGGAGAGATTTGAAGGGAAAATGGAGCTGACTTCCCCTCCTTATTCCCTCCTCTTCCTTTCCTGTTTATCTTCCTATCTGAAGTTCCGAACATAGTGTACAGAAAATGGCCAAAGAGTACCATTGGGGGGGGGGGGGGGGTGGGGGACACATCAGGCAAATAATATAGTTCAATCGTTTTCTTATGTTTTTGATCTGTTTTATTATTTTTTTTATCAGTTCGATAAGGAAGCTTTGTTGAGGTCTGATCTTTCATTAAAAGCACACAAACCACAGACGGAGTTTTTCTGCAAAACTCTGACTGCCAGTGATACAAGCACCCATGGAGGCTTTTCTGTACCAAGACGAGCAGCAGAAAAGATTTTCCCTCCTCTTGTAAGAAGCCTTTCTCTAGAATTCCTCATCTATATTTTTGATAATATAGTTTACGCTCATCATTTGAATGTATAGGATTTCTCCATGCAACCACCTGCTCAAGAACTAGTGGCCAGGGACTTGCATGATAGTGTGTGGACCTTCCGCCACATATATCGCGGTAGGTTCAGATTCTGGGTTTTTTTTTTACAAGTTTACCTTTAATATCTGAGGAAAAAATTTCATAAAAAAATGACAAGAGCCTAAAAAAATATTTCATATGATAAGAAGGCAGCAAAAGCTTTAGAAACAAAATACATTTGCATGAACACATACAAAATTGTTCAGTTGACAGCATTGATTGTTAATCTCTCTTTCTGATCTTCAACCAGGACAACCAAAACGGCACCTGCTAACAACGGGATGGAGCCTTTTTGTTAGTGGGAAGAAACTTTCTGCTGGTGATTCAGTTTTGTTTATCAGGTATGGACTGTAATCGTAAAAACATATTATATTTTAAATTATTAAGCAAGACTTTTATATACTAATGCCAAAATGGCCCGTTTTGTTAGTGGTGATAAATGGTGGTTATAGGAATGAAGTTGTTTATAAATCTGTAAAAAAATTAATCTCCATTTCCATGGTAATGCTAATTCACCCCGAACTATCCTTTTCTTCACAAATTACCATTACCATCCGTTACCTCTAGGGGGGGTGGTATTGGGTGTTGGTGAACATATATGAAGAAAAACATGAAGTTTGGGGAGGCCATTGCATTACTAAGAACATTAAGAAGTTATATTGATTTTATAATTACACTTGAAACTCATCCCATTACTGCTATATATAACCGACTATCAAACTGGCTGTAAAATTGTTTACTTCCATGGCGGTCTGTTTCTCTGTTATGAGTTCAATCTGAGAAGCTATACTCATTAATGTAGTGACTTGTGCTTTCTTTGAGCAGAGATGAGAAGCAGCATCTTCTTTTAGGAATTAGGCGAGCTAACCGACAACCTACTAATTTATCGTCATCAGTGCTCTCTAGTGATAGCATGCATATTGGAATCCTTGCAGCTGCTGCCCATGCGGCTGCAAATAATAGTCCGTTTACAGTTTTCTATAATCCAAGGTGGGTGTCATTGCACTCTTCTTAATCATCACTCTGCATCCTTGGACTCATTAGATGTTGATGTGTGCAGAGCTAGCCCATCAGAGTTTGTGATCCCACTTGCGAAGTACTACAAGGCTATATATGGTCAACAAGTATCTCCTGGTATGCGATTCAGGATGATGTTTGAAACTGAAGACTCAGGAACTAGAAGGTAATTTTGAATGTTGTGTATGAGAGGGTCAAATTGTTTCACCTCGCTGTAAATTTAGAGAAGAAATCCATCTCGAAAATCACTGTATTGAAATCATTCGGTTGATGACTCATCTTTCATCATCTGGTATTAAGCAAATTGACTAATTGAGAACTTAATCAACCAAATTTGCAGGTACATGGGTACAATCACAGGTATTAGTGATCTAGATCCTGTGCGCTGGAAGAATTCTCAGTGGCGTAATTTGCAGGTAAATACTTGCTGCCTTTGTTGCAACTAATTATCTGTGCATCTTATCTAATTGTTGATAGATTACTTGATATCTGCATTCAGGTTGGTTGGGATGAGTCAACTGCTGGAGAAAGGCGTAACAGAGTTTCTGTTTGGGAGATTGAACCTGTTACAGCTCCATTTTTCATATGTCCCCCACCATTCCTTAGGCCAAAGCGTCCAAGGCTACCAGGAATGCCAGGTACATATAATTATACTTCTCCAGATTGGGATTTCTATTTCCCAATAATCACATCCCATAGGGTATCTATATTTCTTCTAATTTTCCTTAGGTCTCCCGTCTCCTCTTTGAGCTATTCAATTTGATACTCATGCTAGTATGCTATCTCACATCATGGCAGGATGCCTGTTTACTTGAAACTTATCCTACTGGAATGCTTTCATGGGCCTTAAATGACTTTCTGTTTAAGATACAAGATGGTTATATGAAGATTGCTACTTATACTACTCTCTGATAATTTATTTATATTGCTGCTGCCTGCTGGCATGTGACAAAACCGATATTTTCCTTTATGAGAAATTTTAATGATACCATACTAATTTACAGTTTTACATGTGTTATTCCAACATGGCTTATGAACCTCCAATTTTCACGGGGTTGGGTGAGTCTATATGATGCCTCGCTATTGGAATGAAATAGTTGTCTTTCATAAGTTTTTCTTAGGTCAACACAAATAACAACAGAAAACGAAAATGGGATAAAACATGTTAATGTATCCTAATATGATTACCTTGTTGTGGTGACTGTATTGATCATTTTCTTGTTGCACTGTTTTTTCTAAGTGGTGTTAGTCTAATCTTACTCTGTGGCAGATGATGAATCTGATGTCGACAACCCATTCAAGAGAACTATGCCATGGCTTGGAGATGATCCGCATGCTTTAACAGGCATGAGCTTGATGCAGTGGATGAACATGCCACAAAATCAATCCTTGGCTAATCCAATGCAGGCAAATTTTTTGAATACTTTACCTGGTACTCTTCAGAGTCTTCCTGGTGCTGACCTGTCCCGTCAATTAGGATTTACTGCACCACTGATGCCTCATCAGAACAACTTACAGCTCAATGCTCAGAGTCCAGTACAATCAGTTCAGCAGCTTGATCAGCTCCAGAAGTCATCAGGAGCTTTGAACCCATTGAGCTCTCTAATACAGTCGCAGCAACAGTTATGTGATGTTTCTCAGCAATCCTCGATGCATAACTTGATCAACCAATCCCTATCTTCAAACCATGTCCAGTCGCAGCTAGTACAGTCTCAGGGTCTTGTACAAAGTCAGAATTCATTTCATCAGCCAACTTCTCTTCAAAGCCATCAGCCCCTGGGAAACCTACCCCCACAGCAGCAGCAGCAAAGTCCAGGACCCAGTCAACAACCAAGTTTAAATCAATTGCAACAAGTTACTGACAACCAGCTTCAGCTTCAACTTTTGCAAAGGCTTCAACAGCAACAGCACTCGCTCTTATCTCAGCAGTCTGCATTGCAGCAGATAAATCACGTGAACCAACTCCAAGAACTGCAGAGATCTCAGTCAGATGTGTCTCAAAGCTTTTCTAGGGCATTGCCTTCATCACAAATGATGGATATGCCTCAAGCACAAATGAAGTCTCTCCCTCAGTCCCAGGTTATGCCACAGCAGATATCTAGGAGCAGTAGTCTGACAGCATCACACTTCTCTCAAACACCTCAGGTCCCAAAACTCCCACAGCAGCAGTCTGGTGTAATGCCGGAACTGCATGGTCCAGCTGGAGTTGCACTCAATCCTATGTCAAATCATCCCTCCTCTGCAGTAAGCAGCAGTTTTGTAGGAGCTGCTGCAGGTGGGCATTCAGCACTAACTGATGATATTCCATCATGCTCAACTTCTCCTTCGACAAACAATGGTCCTATTGTCACTCAGACAGTCGTGAACAATAGAGGTCACCGAAATTATGCCTTGGGAGAAGGGATAAATCAGTCTAATCTTTTGAGTTCCAATAGTTTAGAGACTATGGCAGCTCATAACTCGTTTCAAGAGTTGCATCAAAAAGCTGCTGTCAAGCCTTCTGTCAACATTACTAAGGTTGAAAGCCAAGGACATTTAACCCGGCAAACATATCAGAATATCCCTATGGATTATTTAGATACATCCTCTGCAACATCAGCTTCTCTCTCTCAGAATGATATCATAAGTCAGAACAATCCATTATCTAATCCACAATCAAGTTTGTTAGGAGATACAGGTCACGATGTGGAGGTACAAGCTGATGTTAGAAACAACATTCACGCTGGGGCAAGTATTAATGAGCAGCTGGGGACATCCTTGGTCTCAGATACTATGATGACAAAGAATTTACCAAGGTCTGATAAGGATTTCTCAAATAACGTCTCTTCTGGTTGTATGCTTAGTACTTACGAAAACTCAAAGGATGCTCAGCAGGAACTCTCATCCTCAATGGTTACTCAGTCATTTGGTGTACCAGATGTTGCATTCAATTCAATTGATTCTGCATTAAGTGATGGTAGTTTTATGAATAGGGGAGCATGGGGCCCACCCCCACCATATCAGAGACTGCGGACCTACACAAAGGTAAAACTCTTAGAACTTTTCTCATGCTCTGGCTTAGAATAAAAATTTTAATGAGTGACTTGGTTATTTATTTGAAGGTTTACAAGCGTGGAGCTGTTGGTAGATCTATAGATGTTACTCGTTACTCGGGTTATGAGGAGCTCAAGCAGGATCTGGCTCGGATGTTTGGCATAGAGGGACAGATGGAAGACCGGGGAAGAGTTGGATGGAAACTTGTATATGTGGACCATGAGAACGATGTCTTGCTAGTGGGTGATGATCCCTGGGAGTAAGTCTCCGGCATAATTAAAATTACTTTGCTTCCCTTATCATTATTATCATGATCACCTAATCTGCTCTTAGAGTTCATATTCTGTCTGTTTCAATTTCAGTGACTTCGTGAATTGTGTTCGGTGTGTAAAAATCCTCTCCCCTCAAGAAGTTCAACAAATGAGCCTTGATGGTGATTTTGGGAATGCTTCTCTACAGAATCAAACCTGTAGTAGTTCTGATGGTGGAAATGTATGAATTTTAGAGCCATGCTTCTACCAGTTATTGTGTGCAGAAGACTAAATTGAGAGGATAGAGTTAGCCCCTGGCATATACTTGTGCTGATTTTTATGCATTGCAGCAAGCTGTTGTGATGCAAGCCGAGTTTTAGCCTTGATATAGAAAGTTAGAAATCATTTCCCTCATTTTTGGGCAAGCCTTGTGGTATCCATCATATATGGCTAGTAGGACAGGGAGCTCAGAAAGTTGGCAACCAGACCATCCTATGATTTCAATGGTATTCTGGCAAGCCTTCAAAATTGTAATGATGTATGTTCTAGATTAATGTAAATCTCTCTTAATTTATAAAATCAAAGTTCTCGGTTCAAGTCACTTTGAGAAATTTGGCTTGAAAATTTTGTGGCTAATTCATTCAACCAAGTGCATTGACAATTTTCACTCTAATCATTGGGAACTGTCTTAGTTCTATCTAATGAAGAAAGTCATTATATGCTGACTTTTTCGCCTGTCCTCTTTGACCAATGTTAGTAATATATATAACAAAAAGAAAAAGAAAAAAAAAAAGATTTAGGTGGAATGTTGTTGAAATCATCCCAATGTATTATATTCTAAATACTTCGTAACATATTATTTTCTAAACAACAACAATGTAGCCTTTACCACAAACCAAATTTTATTTCAAGGCACATTGGATTAAATTCAAACTGAACAACAAATAAGCACCCTGACACACAAACAAGAAAATGAGCAACTCTTTTCTCTCCACATAATTATAATTGATGAAACATAAATAGTAAATACTCCATAGTCAATAATTTAACATTATCTAATTATCTAAAACAAAAGGACATTACTACTCCTATGTAGTTCACTATTAATTATTTCAAGCAATTTCAACTGCATCACGCTTCAAAGAGGAGTATGAAGACAAGACCAACAACGATCCCTCCCACATCTCCTCATTTCACATCCGACGAACTTTGTGATCGTCGTGCTCACCTTTAAGAGAAAGTCTTCATCCCAATCCTTGAAAACATTTTTCTCAAGAAGACATGCTCGCGAGAGGTCAAGGTATGTGAGATTCTTATGGCTTTCTAATATTAGTGATAAAGCATTGTCAATTAAGGTACAATACCTAAGTGACAAATGTGTGAGACAAGGAAAATTCCTTGCAACATCAATTGCATCTTCCACCTTTACATGGCCGTCCAACCTTAATGTATGAATTTGATTATTCCACATCACACCCACAACTTGAGCGCATGATGCACTGCACTCCACTTCTACTAGTTCCTTCCAACATGATGCAAAAGCCCTAAAATAAAATACCTTTCCGCGACCCATACGAAAAACCACACTCCTAATTGAAGGTAACCTGCAATGCCAAAACTTTAAGTCACTGCAATCACCATATATTCATATCAATCATTAAAGAAAGACGATTTTATCTATCTACAAGCTAAAGGAACACAATTTTATCTATCTACATGATCGAACTTTATATGAAGTAGATTTACAACCACACGGACCTTTATCAATGAGCTAGATCAAAAGTCATTTGCATTTTTCTGTACTAAAGTTTCAAGCAAATAGAGGAATTATATTATGTTACCAAATTTATAACAACTCAATTTAGTTTTGCTTGATTTTGATTAAGATAGAGTAGATCAATGCCCAAGTATAAATGTCGGCAAACAACTAGTGTGATAATTCAAGATCATGGGTTTATGTTAGATAATTCAAGCAACAACAATATGGGCGGTGCAACAACTAGTGTCAATGAAACACACGAACCAATTTTTTGTTCAAAATTGTATTACTAATGTTTTGCTAATTAAAAACAACCCAAAATATATTATATTCCCACAATTTTGTTTTACTAAGAAAGCCACCTTAATAGACAATTATCACCTAATCAAGAAGCCACCAACAAATTTGTATTCAATAATAGTAATAGAAATGGAAAAAACTTAATTACCTTCTAGCAATGTAGCAATACCCATTCGGGAAAAGATATCAGGGAGTGCAAGTTTTGTATAGTGATTTTGTTGATCGCGGTTGAGATGAAGCTTAATCATCTTCCAAAACCTTTCGAGGTAAGGCACGTAATTAGTATACATGAACCCGTAATGACACAAATCGAATACATCCCGTGGTGGGAAGAGAGTGTCCAGAGCGGCATTGAGCCAGGACTTGCACGCAAAGCAAATCGAAAATATAAGATGTCGCTCACTCAATCGCTTCATAATGCTAACCAATATGTCATTGTCCATCTCTTCCCACCTTCTTATGATATGATTGTCATCACTCTCCTCATCGACCTCGAATGCTACGTTGTTTTTTACATGTTTCTTCAATCAAGTCTTGGCCTTTTCAAAGAGTTTTTGTCCATCATCAATTCTATGAGAAATTAAAGTAGTGAATAATCAGAAATCGATGAATTATGTGGGCATTAGTGAATCTAGAATTGTGAAACAAGTGTAATACCAATAGTTCAATCATCCACTTTACACTATGTTTGGATTAAGAGAAATGGAGCACATTTGATTCAATTATCAAATTAGGCTCACAATTTTAGGGAGAAAATTAAAGGAAAGTTCTATCCTAACATTAACGGCAATTTAATGATTAGGCTGGAAAAATCACATAATTAGCCTTAGTAATCATTACTAATAGTTCAAGAATCAACTTCAGAAGAACCCTAAATTGATCTGAGTATACGAACAATTAAATTAACCATAAACCCTAGTCACTGGATTGCGAAATTATATATTTGATGATTACAAAGAGAAACAACATCAATGGAGAACGTGGAGTGGAGTGAAAATGGAAACTGAGAGCGGGAAAGGTATACGTTTACCATCTCTTTCTAACTCGTCTTTTATGCACGCGATTAGAGCTGTCAATTCGATTACATGGATCGGGTTGGTGTGGGTCAGGTCAACTCAAGTCGGGTCAATTCGGATTAATGTCGTAACTTATGCGGATTGGGTTTTGGTCATGCTTGAGTCAGGTCACGTACGTCATACATCTTATCGGGTTTTGGTCAGGTTTAGGTCAGGTCAATAACAGGTTGGGATACATTCGGATCTGGTGAATAATAGGTCGGGTTTTAACGGGTTAAAACGAGTTAGGGTCATTCTCGGGTTAGAGTCAGGTTCGGTTAAAGTCAATTATTTGCGGGTTATGATTAGGTCGGGTCATTTCCAAGTCGGGTCATGTTTAGGTTTGGGTCACAAGTATTGGATTAATTTGGGTCTCGGTTTGATTTCAAGTCGAGTCATATCGGGTTTAGGTACATTTTTCGGATCGGTTTGTTAATAGTTCATGTATTGACGTTCACATTTAATTACTTACTAGTGTTGTGCCTGGACGATGCTCGGATAATTTTTTGTCCCAATACCAGCTCTTAACATATACTTCATTGATACAAATAAATCATATTTTATTAAAAACGTAATCCTTTTCAATTTAGGATACTAGAGTGCCTCCGTGCTAACGCACGAGTATACATAATATGTAGAGTTAGAAAGAAAAAAAATTAATAGAAGTGAAAGTTATAGTTTTATTTTTTATTATTTGGAGAAAGGAAGTTATTTGGAGGTTATGTCAAAAAAAAAAAGAAAAGAGAAATAAGAGAGAGAAAAAAGAAGAGTGCACAAAATTGCATAGTGAGAGTTTTGGAGGAATTTGGTGAGAAGTTAGAAAAACAACTCTTAAATTATATAAAAGATTACTAATACTTAAGGATATTGATTATCACAATGATGTCTTTGCAAATATGTTGATTAATTAAATTGTTACATACTTACATTTATAATTTAAGATTTTTTTCCATTAATAAAATATAGTCAAACGAATAAAATATACCAGACAAAAAACGTGCCATATCTGTTTTGATAATTATTGAATTAGTAAAAAGGTGGTTATTGATTGTTTTTAAAAATATAAGAGAAAAACAATTGTGTTTTTTTTAACGGAAATAGTGGACCTTATGGTGGTTATTTATTTATTTTTAAAAAGAATGAAGTACACATAATTTAAAGATTGATTTTCAAGTGTTGTGCGGAAATATAAAGAAAAAAATGTGCAATAATAATATAGACTGCTTGTAATTTTGTGGTTTCTAATGATATAATAAAGTAGGTAAGTTTTTGTGTAATTTTTGTTTGTTTTTTTTTGTTTTTTTTTGTTTGTAATATTAAGTAAAATGGATGGTATGTGTGTTATTAGGAAAGATATTAAAAATAGTAGAAGTGGAAGTTATTTGAAGGATATTGCCAAAAAAAGAAAAAGAAAAAGAAAAAAAGAAATGAATGAAAGTTGAGGATTGAGGTTTTGGAGAAACCTCATTAATTCACTCTTAAATTATATTAAAGATTTTGAGATAGGATACTATTAACAAATATTATAGAAGCATACTCCATATGTGAAAAACAACGGTGTTGTAGCTTAGTTGGTACGATGATTTCTATGTTATTTCAACTATCTACCCATCAACTAATAATTATATCTGTAAAATAAAAAAAATATTACTACCGGTCCTAAAGTTTAGTTTGGAATATTACAAACTATGTACACGGTACAGAAATACAATATAACAATCATATTAAATTGTGATTTTTTTTTTAGTTCCTAAAATGAAAGTTTTAAATTAGTTGTATCACTTTTCTTTTTAACTAATAAATTCTCTCTATCTCTCATATCACATAAGCCCTATTTATTTTACTCATGAAATAATAATCACTTGACAATCATACTTGTTAAATAAAAAAAAAAAAATAGTACTACTGCTCATAAAGCTGTGTGTGAATTTAGGAAAGAAATTGGGATTCCAAAAACGGCCTAGGAATCTGTGAAAACTGAAGTGATGCAACTTAAATCGGTTAGGAATTACGTACATGGGTTGCTCAGTCGGTTAGGGATTACGTATATGGGTTATCCAGTCGGTCATGGGTTACTTATTAAGTAACCCCTGATAAGTAACCTCGACTACACGCACAGTGTGGTCAGCCATATATAAAAATTTGTGTTGATCTATATAAGAGTACAATATATATTATATAAATATATACTCTATATGAGAAAATTATCTATGTAATTCAAATTTTTTACTCATAAAATAATAACCACTTGACAATCATACTTGTCAAATAAAAAAAATAGTACTACTGCTCATAAAGCTGTGTGTGAATTTGGGAAAGAGCTTGGGATTAAAAGAGTCTATCCTTGAAATTTGTTAAAAAATAATAGTATGATCATAGCAATTAGAAGAAAGTTGTGATTTTAATGTACATAAGAAATATTGAAATGTTTTTTTAAAAAGTCTAAAACTAAAAAGCATATTAAATTAAACTAAAGATCGTAAATAGGTTTCTAAAATTTTGAAAATTCTACTATGCAAAAACTATAACTATAGTTGTAACATGAAAATGTACAATCAATTGTATTCTAATATAGTGCACTTTGTATTAGACCTATTGGTTCAATCAAATTACATTTTTAAGTACAAACAATACTTGTAATTTATATTTAGGTCATGTTTGATAAATGGCTTTTTGGTTAGGTTTTAGGTTTTTTACGTGGTCAAACAGCCTAAAAAAGTGTTTGGTAAATGACTTTTTTATTCAGCGAAAAAGCTGGCAGCCAAAATGAAAAAGCTGCTATGAGTAGCTTTTTTTGTTGGCTTTTGGCTTGTTGGCCCACAAATTATCTAATAAACAGTTAATAGCCACCAACTAAAAGTTTATCTTTATATGTTAGTTACTAGTTTTG